GTCGTTTCAATATTTGTTAATAAATATTTACTCTTATTAATTTATTTTTTATAATCCATGCTTTTATATCCCTATTGAACAGGATTAATTAATAGATTTTTTAATTCGTAAAATAAATTTTTTACTTTTATTAAATGATTTTCGATAAAACGTATGTATGTACGTTCGATAATACCAATAACATTGTAAACTAATAGTTAATTTATTTATTTAAACATTTCTTTTATCACTCTGTTTGTCAAACTCATTCGACCATGACTACGAACACTTTTGGATACGAGAAACGAGTAAAAGAGAGATGCCGTACTGTCGGCTTTTGATGTTACTCGTGATGAAGTTGATTCTACCAGTAAATCGAAACAAACGTCGAGACAGAAACATTTAACCGGTTCGACGACTAATTGTAAAGTGCATCCGTAAATTAAAACAACTTCGACGTTTATAACGTCTGCGTAACTCTAACTAACATAAGTCTACTTCTTTGTAATCTTTTTCATCAAGATTAAGAAAAAATTTTAATAATTATCTGAAATAATATTCAATATTCTGAATATTTTTATTTGAAATTAAGATCAAAATTTTTAATAAATATTCAAATAAATATTTGAAGTATAATACATTAAATTATTTTATTTTAATTTATATAGAATATGAATGTTATATCAATTATATAACAAAAAAAAATCAATTATTTGTTAATACAATTTTTCTAGTTTGATCGAAGCATAACTGTAAACCGAAAACTAAAAAATATGTTCTTTCCTTAATTCGTAATTTCTCATCTAATCGTTCGTCACTTGTATAATTGTGCTTTAACAAAAATGCTTCAACAATTGTAGACATTCTATTAAAAAAAAAAAAACAATATTGAAATTATGAAATTAAATATGAAATTGATTTCAAACAGTGACCAACTAATAATTCAGAATAATTATCAAAAAAAAAAAAGTAACATACGCGTGACCACAAAGGCATCCACTAGCCGACAATAAGTACAAACATTAAAAAAGAAAGAAAATTTTGAACATTTGTTAAAGAATTTCTCATAAGAATAACCAAGTGAATAAAAATAAAGCATGACTGGGTTTGTTACGATGAAACCTAAAATATAAATTGATCCTTATATAGTTTGAGGTTAACCGTTATGATTCTGTTACTTAGATTTCCGCACGTTTGTTGCTCTGAAAAACGTACATTCGTTGAACCGAATAAGAAAATCGTAGTATAGCATATAGAATGGTAGGAGGAAAAAAGAGAAAGAGAATATGAGAGTAAAAGGGGGTAGGAGGATGGGAGGGTTGGTATAATAAAACCAATCCTGGAAACAACAGCCGTGGTAAGCTGAACACATAAATCTACACGATAGATGAGCCGGACATCGAAAAGAATGTTTTTGGTGACCCGAGCTTAAATGACTGGCTGAAGGGACGAACAATGTTGCGAACGATGAAAAAATGGTTTTTCCTGTCGTATGGTCATAAACATACTGAAGAAATTGTATTGACTGCGAACAACAACAATTTCCATGTTTTTACTCGTATCAGCTTGAAAATTTTACCATTACCTTTCTCTCTCCTCCTTCCCCTCCCCCTCTTTATAAATTAACGACAAATAAAAAGTATTGTTTCAATAATTTATTCCTTTTTATCGTCGAATTATAAATTTTAATATTTTCTTTCACAAACTTTCCTTTTTGAAATATTTTTTGATTATCAAAAAAGCTGAAATGTCCATTCAACCGTTTGCACTATTTGAATAATTTATTATTTGTTAAGAATACTTGTAATTTTATCTTTCTTTTGTGATTTTTTTTAATTATCGAACATAAATTTATAAAGTTAATTTATTCGTATTATTTGAATGATTTATCCAAATGACATCTATAAGCACAATTCTTTTTCCTTCTCTTTTTCTTTATTTAAATATCTTTTACGATCTTTTTTAATTATCGAAGTTATAGATATACCTATTGAATAATTTCGAAACATAGGTACGAAGTATGTAGTATCTCTATATCTATACCGTAAGTACTGTTTTACCGTCACACACACACATTCAAATGTACATGTGTACATATGTTCAGAAATGATAAGAAAAAAGTAAACAAGAAGCTCTATAAGAAGGTAAACGCTAGAGTTTCAACTGAAGAGAGAAGAGTACTTTGGAGAATATTCTCTCTCATCCTTCAGCGATCTATCTGCCCCCTCCTTCCTCCTCTCTCTCTCTCTCTCTCTCTCTCTCTTTTTCCCACTCTTTCACTCTTTTACTATTCTAGTGTACTTTCATAGTTTAGTTTACCAATAATCTGATATCGATTCTCCTGAGAAAATGAATATTTTATCGTGAAATTTCATCGATAGTTTATAATGAGAATTATCTTCTAAATACATATGTGTATATATATGTATATGTGTGTATATATATACATGTGTGTATACGTATACGTGTATATATGTCGTAAAGATAATTAGTCATTAAATTAAAATAACAGATATTGGTTGAACTCGTTCGATTTGAATTTAATCGACATACGTTTTAACATATTGTTAAGTAATCGAAATGATTCGTCGCACGATGACCACTCTAACAACACCAAAGCTTTGAACAATAATCCCATCATTTCTGTGGAAAGCTAATCAATTTCGAAATATTTTGTATATTCTAAATAATCGACAATAATCGATAATATCATTTTGATTCATTCGAAAATTATTTGCTTTTTCTTTTCCTTTTTTTATTTTAATATTTTTTTTTCTAATCGTTTGTATATTATTAGAAAAATATTTGAGAGATAAATTTTGTAGTCCGTTTATATATATTTCATCGAATTTCGCTGGATAAAGAAAATATTTTCTCTCTATCTCTCTCTCTCTCTCTCTTTCTCTCTCTCTCTCTCTCTCTCTCTCTCTCTCTCTCTCTCTNACTTTCTTTTTCCATCATATTAAAACTCTCTTTTTACTTTTACGTTTTATATAATTTTATATTTTATTTATAAAGAAAATATTTTCTCTCTATCTCTCTCTCTCTCTCTCTTTCTCTCTCTCTCTCTCTCTCTCTCTCTCTCTCTCTCTCTCTCTTTTTCTTTCTCTCTTGTAAATTGTAAAAATCTTCAAACATTCGAAATTTTTGCAACTCGTTCTATCCACGTCACTTATATTTCGAGTTTCAGCATTTCTGAAAATATTTATACTTTTTCGCATACTGCTACTAGACCAGTCATATTTTACAAAATACATACATTTCATTCGTTTCCTCTTTCTCTCGTATTTTCCATTTCTACTCTGAACTCTATTTTTAATACTATTCGTTTCTTATACAATACGAAAGAATTCTTCTTTCATCATCCTCAGAAACATTATCTTTACTTTCACGTTACACACAAATATCAAAATATTTTCTAAGAAAATAATGCTTCAATATCTAAAAATATAGGGCACATTAAAAATTTGATTTTGATATATTATTTTTTTAAGAGACTCAACAAATACAAAAATATTAGTCAACTGTGAACGTACTTTGCAGTTAAATACACAATTATTTTTGAAATTAGATTATCTTATTAAAAAATAAAATTATACATGTATCAAATAAATCTTTCCTCCCCTATTTCAACGAAATAAATATTACTACCAGCCATTTTCACCTACATATAATACATATACATATTTATATATGTACGCGATTATATACCTAAGTATATTAATCAAAACTTGAGATTAATTTCAGTACGTCAGAGACAGAGGATAGTTCTTTTTCTTTTTACCTCGGTAAAACGAAACCACGTGTTTACTACCTTATCTAAGTAAATATAACTTTTGTTCGAATGAGAACAGTCGCTTTATTCGACGAATGAGTTAGAAATATATATTACATACATACACGTACGCGCGCATTCACGTACATACACATATAAATACATATATAAAAGCGAGTACAAGTTATATACTAGCCTTTCATTTTTCTTCTCTACAACAAGTATATGTGGTCAACCATATGTACGCACATATACACATTCACATCCACATTCCAAACACATAAGTTTTCTCCCCAAACAGAAAAGTTCCGTTAATTAAAGTGCCTGTGTTGCCTTGCTGGCCATAAAATAAAGATGACAGTTTACTTAGAGTGTGTAAAAAAATAGACAATAAAGAAAAGTAGTCGTAAAGATAATTATTATTTGAAATGTATGAGGAATAAGAAATAGTCAGTTTTGATATATAATTCGTTTCGCAAATGACCACTATACAATACAGATCCATACATTAGAATGCTTAATAGATAACGAAGACATATTCGTGATAGAATGTCGATAACACTTATCGATCTGTTTCCTCCATTTCTATCTACTTATATGTATACATAATACATATATACTACACATATTAGTAAGATCGTTCATCGAGAAGGAACCTAATACATTAGACTGATGATACATACATACATACATACATTCATACATATATATATTTAAACATACATACATGCATATATACATACACTATCTGCTAAAAGTTTGATTCAATGGCTGATTACACCTTTTTCTTACATCCCTAATACTCTTGCATAGTTCATACACTCAGTTAAGGACAATAATCAGATTAAACTTTCCTACTGGTAGATTTTTGGCAACTTTTACAAAAAAATATGAAAAAATATTAAGAAACATTCGAAAAACTAATTGTCCAGAATATTTAGAATATGTCAGACTATCCTTAAAAATAAAACATACTACTTATAAGTGTTTAACTACTAACATTCTACTATAAGAAAAATTCTTTTATTTAACATAAAGAATTATGGTTCCTTATTAATTCCGATATTAAAAGTATCCTATTTCTCTGATTTCAATGGTTTAAATTGGCAATGTACATAAATAGATACATGTGTGCTTGTGTAAGGTTGGTTAGTTACATGAATGATAGGCGTATTTAATAACATTCCAGTAATAAGGGAAGTATAGAAGCTACTAGGTTAATGACAGATAATTATGTTTATTACAGATAAACTCGAGATGGTCTCTTGGGCCGGAACTCTGCGACATGTGGACCAGCAGCGACGTACTTTGCTGTACGGCATCGATATTGCATCTGGTGGCTATCGCGGTCGACAGATATTGGGCTGTCACCGATCTCAATTATATACAGGTTAATTGATACGCTTGTGGTTTAACGAGAGTGTGACGGAAGTTTTTGGAAAAGGAATAGTACAATAACATTGTTAAATTCGCTCTCAACGCTATCTTTCTCTTAAATCCATATTTCCATATGCATACATTTGTATTAATACGTCAATGTAGTTGTCATTCATACGAAAACAAGTATATATATATATATATATACCCTTGTGTGCATATATGCATTTAATTAGAAAGATTAAACGTAGATATAAATATATAGAAAAAAATTAATCCAATTGGAAATGGTTTGGTTTCGTCCCATGGTAGGACTTCTACATAAATCGATAAGATCGGTAAAATCGGTAAGGCCTTTGCATAAACGAACCGTATATGGGTCGCTAATAACGATAGGATTAAACATAGAAATAGATCGAGAAAACTCATCCAGTTAGAAAGGTTATGTTTCGTACGATTCTATTTTTATTTATTTTTGTTCCTATGCATGTAGACAGTTAGACGAATAGGAACACTTATGTATTAGTTTATCAATAATCAATGTTTTTAGATTAGAAGGGCCAAGCATAAAAATAGATCGAGAGGTTTCGGTTTACATAAATATTTCTTTTTTATATCCCTATTCTATTTTTTTTTGTCGTTACTTTTTTTTCTCTATACATACGTGCAAATAATATCGATTAAATAAATATTTACATAAAGGCAAGTGCATATGAATGTGCGCATTAATGCATTAGATTAGAAGAGCCAATAATAGAAATAGATTAAGAGAATCGATCCAATTAGGAAAGGTTTCGTTTCACGCGAACATTTCTTCTTTTCTATTCTTTATTTTCTCTCTCTCTCTCTCTCTCTCTTTCGTTCCCTTGTTTTTTTGGTTAGTTTTTTTTAGTTCATTCATTCATTCATTCGCTCATTCTACCGTTTGGGGTTTGTTTTTTTGTACCTTCCCAACGCCAACGTTTCGTACCATTCCCTTCAACTAATCGGATGAACCTTGAGAGAGCTCCTAGAAGTGGGTCCATAGCACGAACGTAGGTACGATCGAAGGTTTTAAAAGCTTTCCTCCTTAACGCGGCCGTCAGACCGGGACTGGTCCAATTAGATAGAGAGCGACATACATCTACGTGCAACATAGAACCACCTTCAATGGGGTAATAAAACAAAAAATAAAAATAAAACAAAATAAAAAAAAAAAAGAAAAACCAAAACGTATTGAGAGGATTCCAAAGAAGTCAATCAAATGAATATTTTTGTCTCTCTCATTAATAACCTAATCTTTTCTTTCTTCGAAAGAGATTTATAAGTTGAAAAATTTCTTTCTTTTTTTATACGATGACTTAATATTGTTCGTTTCTTATTTTTTTTTTTGTAATTGTTTTGTTTTCTAAAAATGTATCTGTAAATGATAGTTTGTAGACGTAATGACATCACCGAGGTAATTAATTTCAAGGCACTGAATATTTTTGTTTCAGGTAAAACCAGACAAATAAAAAGTTTTATCGTTCGTTGAGAACTCGAACGCTAAGTTGCACTTTTCCGTCGGTTATTCTCGTTATAACTCGGTAAACGATTAATTTATTACCGTAGGTAGGTACTTTTCGTCGATTCGCGTGACGTATTCTAGTAATTCTGCATAATTTTCCAATTAGAATCTCTCCTGCTATTGAACTTATTCCGAAGAAATGAAAGAAAAAGAGAACATTAATATTTATCTTCATTTTATGATAAATTTCTTGTCACGGAAAACACACGTTTATAGAACAATAAAAACGATTTTAATCAACATGTACGATCAATTTCATTAATCTATCAATAAATCTAACATTTTTTGTATATATTTAAATAAAAATAAATAAATAAAAACAGAATTATATAAAAATATCTCTATAAAAATACGATTAATTATAATTGATAGAAAAATGTAAATCAAAGGTAAATCAAAAACAGTATGATATCTACAAATATGAAAAGTAAAAGCATAAATTAAACGTAAAATAAAGAGAGAGAGAAATAAAGAGAGAGAAACAATCCTTACCAAATAGGTTTCTAAAGGTCCGTATTACCTATATGTTATAAAACTAGAAAGGTAGAGAGACTCTCATTTTGGATTATCGTATTGTATGTAGTTGTGCAGAGAATGCCAAACTTTTCGGTCTACGTGATACGTACAAGGATTCTCTCTCTTTCTCGCTCTCTTTCACGTTGTCAGGAGTTATTTTATCTTTCTTTTTCTCTCTCTCTCTCTCTCTCTCTCTCTCTCTCTCTCTCTCTCTTTCTTTCTAAAAGTTTCTCAAAAGGGTAGTCTTTGGAAGGAGAAACGAATACGTATGAGAAAAGCCACCACTTTCTACAGGCGAGTTCGTATTATGAGAAAATTACATTCGTAAGAAATTTAGTCTTTTACATGTATGTGTATCTATATATGTCTATACGAAGAAGCGCTTACGTAGTAAATACATACTTGCACAGAAGATAAGAAAGTTTCTTCCTTTTCTTTATCTTTCTCTCTTTTTCGAAGCAATTGATGATTTAGCACTTCGATCGATCGTTTCACACGCTGCACCTATTTTATCTTTTTTCATTTCTATCGTAGTTTCTTTAAAGTATCTAACACATACTGACTTATATCTGTTAGATACACTTACGTTAGTGTCATTCTTTCAAAAAGAACAAAATTTGTAACGAAATAAAAAAATCATCAATTTCTATTCTCCATCGAAATATTAAAAAATTAAATATACCGTAAATGTTATAATAGCGAAGACAAAAATTAAATTATTGATAAATACACCGAATTAAATTGTATAATAAAAAGTAAAATCTTAATAAAATCGTTGGAACATGGCACGTATTAGAAATATAATATGTTAAAAGATGAAATTGAATAAAATTCTAAATAAATGTTTCTTAAATAATTAAAAAAAAAAATAAATATAATAAAATATAAAAAAGAAGAAAAGAAAAAAAAGAAAATATGTCTGAACAATTTTATCACGTGTAAAAGGAGGAACGTAATAAACGAATGTAAAAAAGTCTAGAACGATTAGTCGGAATAAATGAAAGTGCAATAAAGGTGAAGGCAGTATATATCGGAATTACGATCACAGCTGGTGCGTGCCTGCAAGTATTCGAGATTGCACAGAATGCATCCTTCTTCCATTGAATTGTTGGAGAGACCCTTGGAGACTAGCTATAATATTGAAATATATGAATGTGTAGGTGTGATATACATATGTAAAGGGAGAGGAAAAAATACGAGGGAAAAAAAGAAAAGGGAGAGAGAGAGAGAGAGAGAGAGAGAGAGAGAAAGAGAGAGAATGTGTACCAGAATCGCTACCTAGACCGCAATTACTCGCCCCTAATTGCTTCTCTTCGTGAGCCCGTGGAATTATCGCTTTGATCGGAAGGAAAATATATTAGCGGAGACGTAGAAAGGGACGAATTAAATGGAATCTCCCATTGTAAAATAGTTCACCCACGTGCGAAATGTTTAATACCCAACGACAATCCTTCCCTTTTTCCTAATTAAACGTTTATATTTCTCTCCTTCTATTCCTATCTCTCCGCATTGTCATTTGAAGTTAACCAAATTTCATCATATTATTTTTTATGTTACGTCAACGACGTTGACGCACCATTACGTCAAAAGTTTTACAAAAATTATTCGGATATACGATATTTTTATACGAAATTTTATCTATCCATCTAAACAATTTATAAAGAATCGTTTGAAAAAATATTGAGCCATATATTTTACTTAAAAAATACAATCTATTTTCTCTTTAAAAATATCGTGAACTTTTCAAGTGGTCAAAGTAAAATATTGTTTTTTCAAATTTTTTAATTACTTTTTTTTTCAATAAATTGATTAAATATTTGAACGATATAGTTGTTATAAATTTTTATTTTGCAATTTACAATTAATTGGATCGAATATTTATTTTCACACACACACACACACACACACAGTTTATAAGTTCTTGAATAAGTTCTTAATAACGTTTCAAAATGTTAAGATTTTATTAGCTTTGCGAAGCACGTTTTTTTATGTATACAAGCATCTTTCTCTCCATCTTTATCTTTTTCTCCCCCAGTTCTTGGGTGACATATGTCGGCATCAAAATATTTTCGAGAAAAATGTTCTTTAGATAAAATGTTATTACCAAGTTTATTCATAATACGAGTGTGGCGAAACACTGTAGTATTTTGATTTACAACGAAACCAAGATATACAAACGATAACCTAAATGCACTGGCTTAAGGTAAATCTTTCAAAAAATAAAAAAGAAAATGAAAAAACAGAAAAAGGAGAAACATCAGATCTTTCTCTTCAAATTATTCACGATTAGAGGTAAAGATAATATAATCTCGAATAAGTTAAACATCAAAATAGTGAACACCAAATAATGAAATTTTTTAGAAAGTATTTGACCTTTCATTTATGATACGATATTAAAAATAAATTACTTAAACAAATCAAAACGCAAGATAGTTCTGAATTATTTCTAAAATGTCTGTTGTAACAATGTCAACCGATTTTTATCAGTAAACGAGACTAACGAAATTATTTTCTATACAATCAAATAGATCGACGTAACTTAAAATACATGATTAATAATTAATTGATTTGTTGATTAAGGAAAAAGAATAACTACTTTATATAATTATAAATATTTATATTATTCGGGGTACGCGTTAATAATTAGAACGATTGTTATAATTATTAGCGCTATTATACATCATCAAAATCGATAATAGACTTTCGCATAAGTTTGAAGCTCGAATTAGGTACGTCATCTATCTATACCTAGGAAATATTCGTGAGCTTCGGGCGTTATAGTGTTTCGCATCGTTGTAATTATAATGGGAGTAGATCCGATCCGTAGCCAGATAGGCTTTGGAGCTGATGTTAAACTCGTCGGAGGGTTCCTATGCGTTAGATCGAACGAACCTTCGGCTAATATATTCGATTATCGAGTAAATACTCTCCGGTTTGTTGGCATTTTATTAGAAGTTCAGAGTTTAGAGTCTCTATCTAATCTTCTATGAATTTTCAAAGTTTTCAATTCAACGTACACACATGAAATATCGAAAAGTTGAAGAAAATTTCGTTCATATCTTCAAATTACATTATAATAATCATTGTTTATCTTTTGTTGAACCTTCTCTCTCTTTTCGTTGATATAAAATATTTTTCTCCAATAAAATATCAACAGACAAAATATTCAACAATTAACAGATTTATTATTAATTGTTTTTAGGCAAGGAATCCAAAGAAGATTGCTATCCTGATCGTATTGGTTTGGGTTGTATCATTGGGAATTTCATTGGCACCCCAATTTGGTTTGAAAGATCCAGATTATTTACAACGCATAGCTGATGGTGAATGTATCGTATCGCAAGATCCAACGTATCAGGTGGGTCCTATTACTCATAATGTTACTAGTAATTAAAAGACTATAAACAATGAATATTCCATTAATTTCGATTTAATATTAAGTTTAAATTATTTTAGAAACATCTAAAAGACTTACATTTTTCAATAAACTTTTTTTCCAATAGAATTATAACCGATAAATCGTTGTCTAGCTCGTTCGTTCATCGATTAGGGGAAAAAGTTAAGAGAAATGGCACGATTCGAAACTTAATGAGAAGAAGAGAGTAAGGGAGAGAGAAAAAGAATGAACATCACGTAGGTGTTCGACCTAACTCGAATTTTTACGTTTGTGTAAGTGAAAGAGGAAAAAAGGGATGGGAGGTGAGGGAAAAAGAAAGACAGCTTATATGAATTATCCGCAAAATTCGATAATGAGAATTATATCTCAACGAAATTCTCGGCGGTATATCTCTAAAGGATATACATATACTGGGTGTCACGAAAATATCTAGGTCACATTGCAAACTTCGAAACATAGTATATTCGTCTCGAGAATTTCTGCATTAAAATTAATTACTTTGACTATTCCATAATCTATTATTAATATTATTCTATATTCCAACTTTTAAAATGTTTCATCAAAATAAATTCAATGTGATTTTTATTCTTTCATTATTTTTTTTCAGCTGTAAAATATGCAACGAACAATATGTGTGTTTTTTTTCTACAATAATTTAATTTCACACGATAATCTTTGCTTTAAAATATTTCAATTAAAATTATTCTATGATCGAACAAAATGTGCAAGTGCATGTGCACTCAGCAACAGATTTATAGTATAGTTTTGTTTTTTCTTTTTTTTTTTTGATATTTCATCGAGAATATGAAACACAACAATGCATGGGGTAAAAAAATTGGATACGTTTCACGAAATGGAAAAGTTCAATTCATCTATCACCCAATATCTCTTGCGATTATTATGCATTGGGATTTGTCCCCTTTATTATGGAGGATTAAGAATCCTCTCTCCCTCTCTCTTTCCCTGTCACATTTTTTTCTCCTCTTCCTCCTTCTCCTCTTCCCTCATCCAAACGAAAAGTGATCAACTTTTTGCGCGTCCCACTTTTTCGGATTGATCTTGCTCAGCTCGAAATATTTGAACGCGTCGGCTATTAGCAAAAGTCGAAAATTTTCATCTTCGTTTATCTTTCATAGTAATGCGTAACCTTAAAGTTCCACTCGTTTATCTTATTTCGCGTTTTCGTCATAAAATTAATTCTTATTTCATAGTCAATAATAATTATTTATTTAAAATAAATGTTATTTTATTATATACAGTAATACCGTTTGAAAAAATTGGGTTCCTTTGTTTTATATTTTTAAATGAGCTTTTAATACTTATAGATATACGTATCCACTCATTTATTTATTATACCTTCTGAAACACTCTGTAAGTAAACTTAAACAGATTAAAATAAGTAGTTAAAGATAATCTACATACGCGATACACGAGTACAACATTTGATTCACAAAAGAAACAAATTTGTTTGATCGTTTAACGTTTCTAATTTTCAAAATATTGCGACATAGCAAAAAAATAGAAATAAAATAAATCAATAGGGAAAAAAAAGAAAAGAAAAAAAAAGAAAAAAGCAGGAAAAAAGTTATACATCTAACGGTATTTACTTGAATATTTCGTTACGCACTGGAAACATAGAAGAAGTTTAACTCTGTAATGGAAATAAACAGAAATACTGGTATATACAACTGGACTTCATACTTATGTTAGAGATATATTACGAAACGAAGTTGAGCCGGTTTGAAAACTCGCTGCTACTCGGATCGACGAATGGTTTGCGTTGAATAAGCAAAGGATTGGACAGTTTACTAGGGTGTCGAGGGATGCGAAGAAAGGGGAGGTGGAGGAGGGTTGGACAGGTTGGTAAAGTGGATAGAAGCCCTCCATATCTGGTAGTAGAGCAGACAAACGGCATTCGTTAGCGTCCATAACTTTCACGAACCACCGGAACTCCTATCTCTTGATGTTTCTCTCTCTCTCCCTTCCTCACTCTCTATCTCCATCCCTATCTATCTCTTTCTATTCCTCGATGCAACGATAGAATTAAAAATCGTATACAATAACGTTCAAAATAAAGATGATGAAAAAACTATTTAAATGTTTACGAAAATGTTGTTATCGTATAACAACGATGACATCATTCGAGAATAGATCGACAGAAAAGAAAAAACCAAAATACTTTTATCAATGTAGAAATATAATATTTATTTGTAACGTTTTTACTACACCGTTGGGCTCGGACACAACTCGACTAACAAAAAAGAAAAATATAAGAGTATAAAAGAAGGCGATGATCACAATGCATCACGACAATCCAGTCCCGTATCGCTAAAACAATTCAAACGGGCCCTTATTTACAGCAAATTTCTATTTCTTTTACATCTTTTTTTACAGAATATTTATCTGGACTGTCAACAAGTTTTTCTTATTTTTAAATATATGTTTGATGAATAAAAGTACCAAAAATATATGAAAATAATTTATATTAGGTTGTTAGGTTGTTCGTTTTTTTAATAGTAAATCAAAGAAGATTTTGTTTATATTTCCAATCCCAAATTGATGAATTTTATCTTTTCTGTTGAAGTGACAACATTTATATGAACATTAGAGGATTTAAGTATGCGTACAGTGGGAGTATGATAATACAAAACATTCTAACCTCGTACGAATACTTAACTCCCCCACAATATACGTGTAGATCACTGAATTGTAATGGAAGTATAGTCACTGTACCATAGATACTTAATCCGATTGAAGAATACACACAAACACGCATATCTACAAAAACACATATATGTGTGTATATATATTTCAGTAGTATTGTGTATTCAAGGAGAAGCAGAGCTTTAAAGTTTCAAGCAATCCTTAAAGCTGAATTATTCATGCGAGTTAGCTATTAGAATCTATCCTCTCGTCCACAAAGTTGGGTGTGTCCCTTAAGTAGAAATCCAAGACTTTAACAGGAATTTTCTACCCCCAGTTGTTGAGTATATGAAGTGGAAGAGAACCAAAAAAAAAAAAAAAAGAAGAAAAAGAAAAATCCCCTCAGAGAGAAAGAGAGATTGAGATAAAGATAAAGATAAGAGATAATAAAGAACATATAGAATGAGAGAGAAATATCCGGATTAGGTATTATCTAAGTACTTTATCTCTCTCTCTCTCTCTCTTTTGGTTGGCTCTATAAGTTTAACGAAGTAAGAGATAAAGTTCCTCGCATTAAAATCTATCCTTTAATAAGCTTATGAAGTGTTACGTAGGTTTGCTTCCTCTCACTCGTTTACAGCCTCTATAAAGCTTATCCCTGCTCTAATTGAAAGGATATCGAACTTGTTAACCATGTTCTCTTCTATTACGAACCTATAACTTTTTTTCACCCCTCCTTCTTTCTTCCTCTTTTCTTTATTTCTTTTTTTAAAGTATTCACTTTGACGGGAACGTAAAGAAAAAAAACGATATTCGTTGTCAATTTTCACGGTAAAGTTAAAGGTTAAATAATGTGATTCCTTAAATTTGTGCAACATTCGTACACTCTGATAAGAAGAAAAAGATTATCGTAAATAACGAATAACATGAAAGAGATGGAAATAAAAACGCAGAATAAAGAGGGAGAGAATTAAAATAACATTTTTACATTTACTTTATAATCTTTCTTTTTTAAACATATTTATTTATTTATTGAACTATTTTGTATTTAGTATAAGGATATAAATGCAATAGAAAATATGTGGATGGAAGGATTAGGAAGAGGAGGAAGAAGAGAGGGAGGGTAGAAAACTTTCGTTAGCGATACACCTAACTCGTTACGTGAAATTTTATTATTAACACTTTAGCATACCGTAAATATTCATTGCTCTCCTCTTCTCTCTCTCTCTCTCTCTCTCTCTCTCTCTCTCTCTCTCTCTCTCTTTTGGGGAATATAATGAATATTGATATAAAGTCGCGGTGTCTGTTAACGCGGGGGCGTCTTTTCCCTGGTGAAAAAGCGCGATGTACCGGAAAGTTTGAATGATTTGTGTGATATCACCGATCGAATCGTCTGCTATCACCAATGAAATATCGTCAAATTGGGTTAAACGATATCCCCTCCCCACCCTCTCTTTTCTCTCCCTCTCTCTCTTTCAGTCTATTTTTTATGTCTTTTTTTTTGTTCTCTATTGGGAATTGACGCAGAAACGTATGAGATATTATTTTTCCAACAGTATGACACGATTGAATATTCCTTCGCGTATTTTGCATTGCTAAAATTGAAATATTTATGTCAAGTTAGCCGAATTTTATTAATAATCATCAAACGTTTTTATAAATAAAATAAAATTTGATTATTTTTCTTTCAAAAAAGAAAAAAACAAAATAAAAAAAATATATATACAAATTAGAAAATACACGCGATATTTTCGATACTCCTAATGAACGCGTAAATTTTAATAAATCTAGATTTAAATAAAATGTAAATTAATACTAATAATCACACATAATGCTCTAAAGTTAATAAATAAGAAAAATCAATATCACTTATATGATTTGAAATATTTTAACAAAAATTTATACATTATTAAATGTAATACTTATTAAGAAATGATTGAAAGTGTTCTTTTCTTAAATCCTCGAATATACGTACATTGATTACGTTTACAATTTACGAGAGAGAGAGAGAGAGAGAGAGAGAGAGAGAGAGAGAGAGAGAGAGAGAGAGAGAAAGAGAGAGAACAATGTTTGCTCATTCACGCGTGTTAGGTAGAACATTTGAAATGTAAACAGGAATGGTATGGGATGCGTCTCTGTATTGGTAAATAGTAAGTAACCTATATAGAACGCAATTACATTCCACACGCGTTACGTAATGAAGGAAGGAAATGACGGAAGAAAAGAATGTAACTATGAATAAAAAAGAAAAGATATAAGTGTATCAAATAAATATGTAAAATAGAATAAGTCACAGGATTATTCTTACATTACTTATAAAAATAATAATAATTGTATTTTACGTAGATGCAAATACTCTTGTGAAACCAATCTTCTTATCATTAAAGTAAAATTATAATCTTCTACAAATAAGATGTTCCTCTGCAATCAAATTGATATCAATTTGAAAGTTTAATAATCCTGAAATAGGTTTCTCTTTAGAAAAATTTTGAAGCCTTGCATTACAAGCAAATATTAATTATTTCAAATTTAGAATAGTTACGAATAATCCTGTAACTAACTGTATACGCTTGAAGATTTGATAAGATGAAAATTGATGGTATACAAATTTCAAACATGATGGAACATTTACGTATACATATGTAGCAATATTGTGCTTTATCGTCCTCTCTCTCTCTCTCTCTTTCTCTCTCTCTCCTGTTCTCATTTTCTCTCTTTTACTTTTATCGAAAGTTTCGAAGAGAAGTAGGAGACGGGTCCTATTCTCGTGAACGTTCTACGTGCTACTAAACTCGATTTCGAATACATCAAACAAAAATCCAATTTAACTCTGCTCTTGGTTAAGCGGTTACTGTGAAGAGGATCAAGGAGGATCCAAGTGACAGACGAAAAGAGAGAGAGAGAGAGAGAGAGAGAGAGAGAAAGAAATACAGTTTGAGAAATAATCGAATCAGACCCCACTAATATTCGATAGTTCGTATTATGACAAACTCAGTTACTAATCCGTCGATCTTCTGACGATATCATCTACAGATCATTTGATTTAAGAAAAGAAAAAAAGAAAAAATATCCAATTTTTCAGCTTCACGACGCTCTTATCGGAATCCAATTTTATTAACCTCCAAGTTTTTTAAAACGATTAATAAAATGTCTACGTCCTAAAAGTCGATTTACCGAACTGAAAAATAATGTAATCAAAATTTGTTTGACAGATATTTAGAGTGGTGACAAATATTTTATTAACACGATAACTGGAGGTTCATAAATTAAAATAAAAAATTAAATATTATAAACACACACGGAAAGAAAAAAAGAAGAATGATAGTTAATAATATTAAACAATAAACGTATAACTAACGAACCAAAATTTAAACATTTTTTCTTATACGTTTAATTATACCATATGCACGTAATTATGACAGTGGCCTAAGTTCAGAAATTAAACAAATTAGTTTGATGATTTATTTGATAATATAAATAATTTTAATATAAAATAAATCATAATATTCATATTTCTAATTGATTGACTTAATCAACTGTCACAATTCCTGGCATAATTGTAAAAATATATAT